GTGGGACTGGAAGGAGAACTGAGGTTTATTTTTTTTTTATTTTTTTTAGAAAAAAGGACCTACATAAAGACTGTGATCCCAGTGGTGGGATGTTGCATAGTTTCACATTTTAGCTTATGATCCCGTAAAACAATGAAATCTCTACCACAGTTACATATGTCTGTGGGTTATGACCAGGTCAACTAAAGATTTTTTTATTTAAATAGTTCTTAGTGGCCTACACAGGTAAGTATATCCAATAATATATAATATTGGATAGCAAACATGTTGTTTTACGTTTTTCCTGAGACACAGCAGATTTGTCCTACGATATCAGTCTGATGATCAGCATGGCCAAAATTATCAACAGATCATATCATACTACAACCACATCATTATCTGTGTGTTTACCACCCAATAAGTAACAAATAATGGCAGTGTAGAAATGCTAAAGATATGTTTTGAGGTTATTTCATTCTGAGAGCACTTTTTCAAATGTAAAATGTCTCTCTCTTTACATATCAAAATTCTTTAAGAAACATTTCATCCCAAAAAGTTTGTTCATGTTATGGGCTTAAGACTTTTTACATATCAAATATCAATTTTGTATCGACCTAAAAGTTCAGTATCAGGTTTAACCGTAATGTAGTCCCAGCCGCCATGTCGGTGATCGCTTATAGCATTAGATTCATTAATCCATATATGTGCTCATTGGAGATTTAGGGAGGTTCAAATACAAATGTATTCTATTTAAATCTATTTTTGTATTATTTTCAATGGCTTACTGACAAATATATAAGAAACAGGTTTATGAAATAGGCAAATCCCATAAAGGTCCTTCTTCCCTGGGGCATTATTAATCTGCTATTTTATTTTACTCATGTGCTTCTCATTCAGCCTGCAAACTGACCATGACATGTTGTAGCTGCATCATACACCACATGAGTGTTTGAAAAGATGATGAAGCTCTTGTTCTCCCTCTGTATCCATATCCTCCGTTGCAGAACAGTTTATCCTCCTCTCCCACTGTTAAGCAGAGCAGTTGGTAACTTTCTGATGTCAGTTTTTACTCTGGGAATAAAAAGGATTGCATGTTTTTGTCAACACATACAGATGTACTGAATCCAGGATGATTTCCCAGTTTCAGGCCTTTCTTTCTCTGACACTCAGAGTTACATTTAAGCTGAAAATTTCAACCTGCGTCACCAAACATCTGTGACCTAGAGCCTGACATTGAACCTGTGACCTCTCTGTGGAGGATAGAGACACACAGCATCTATGTGGGACAAAAGAGTATACACAACAAAGAAAGTAATATATACGGCATATATTTTTATACAAAGGGGAAATGTAAATGTAAAACCTTCCTCTTTCAGTTTGCAACCTTTGTTGAGGATCCTGCTTTTATCACTAACCAAAATGGAAACATATGAAATGATTTTAATTTATTCCTGTCATTGTACTGTAAAAAAAAAAAAAAAAAATGTATTTCGATGTTACAGAAAAGAAACACATCCCCATACAGTCTTTGTTACCTGCTCTGTCTTCCAGGTACAAATCCAACGAGGACTATGTTTACGTTCGTGGTCGTGGTCGAGGGAAATACATCTGCGAGGAGTGTGGCATCCGCTGTAAGAAACCCAGCATGCTGAAGAAACACATCCGAACGCATACCGACGTCCGGCCGTACGTCTGCAAGTTCTGCAACTTTGCCTTCAAAACGAAAGGTAGGGCTTCTTTCTTCATACTGTTTTTATTTAAGAATCAGAATGTAAGGTCGACACGAATTTGTCAAGGCCTGGAAATTTTATTAGATAGACAGATATTCTGTGTCATGATTCATGATTCAAGTTTTACTATTTAATGGTAGAAAATTACAAATGTTTTATAATCACACGATACATTTGCTCCTTATCAGGGTAGAAAAAAATTTTGATCATCGTGGTGCAACAAAACTTTCTTTAAACACAAAACTAATCATATTTCTTTAGGTGTTAGATTTTTAAAGAAAATTTTTAGTCGAAACAATCGACATTCAAGCTTTATCTGAAGAATAAAATCTTAAGATACAGAACTAAGTGGTTAAATGAATGAATAAAACATGCAGCGAGGTTGTGGTCAAACAGGAAACTCCATCATATCAGTGGTTGAAGATGCTGACTCACTGATATCTGATCTTTAATAAAAAGCCATTATGTGCCTGATAGATTTTCAAACCTTAAACTCCCCCCTTTATGTGCAGTAGATGTATGAGTCCAGACCAGGCTGAGTAATTTTGTCATTAAATTACATTATGTATAAATTATGTATAATTTGTAAATTGTACATGTGTGGCCTTGCTGTTTCTTCCACCGCTTCTATTTCCATTTCAGCCTCTTTCTTTTTCAGGCTTGTGACGATGCAACCAAACAAGCTCTGGTTTCCAGTAAGTCGAAGGGGTCATTAAAATGGTGTGTGTGTGTGTGTGTGTGTGTTTTGTAGGAAACCTGACGAAGCACATGAAGTCTAAAGCTCATATGAAAAAGTGTCTGGAGTTGGGAGTCTCCATGTCTTCTGTTGAGGACAATGAGGCAGATGAAGGAGGTAGGAAAAGCACACGAGAGACTAAAACAGACACACACACTGCAATGACGATCCTGCTGTCTTGTTGAGTGCTGCCTGCAGTGTCTTTGGCTCGGAGCGGTTGTACAGAGACAGTTAGTGTAATGGAAAGCAGAACTAATCCCGACAGCCACGACTCATGTCAAACAACCACACTGGACACACAAGCCCCTAAAAAAGCCTCTCTTATTATATAATCCGAATATTCCCACGAACAATTTTAAAGCCATAATTTTACTTTCCGGCAGTTACTCAGAAATAGCAATAAGTATTCGCCTCACGACCCGGCGGGGTTCATGAGTTTCAGCCAAGAAGTCCACGGTTCCATTAATCAGCTGATATGGAAATAATCTGAAAATTATTACTGGGGAAGATGTTGTGGGCTGAAAGGGATGAATGTGATTTTCCATGAAATATTCTCAAATAATAAATTCTCATCAGCTGTCTCAGATGAACAGATGAGTGGGGTTTGGTGTCTCGTTAATCTTTCGATGACTTGAAAATGAAGCTGGAAATTTGTGTGACTGATTTTATATTCTTTGGAGTTTTAACAACAACAGCTTCTCCGTCGTCCTTCCAGACTACATTTAGTCTCTAAACTAAATATATTGTGTCAAGGTGACAACAACACTGTCAGTCATCTATTTAGATTTTATTCATTAAAGTTGAAATCACTGGATGAAGTGTGCTCTAACAATAGCTGTCATGGTATGACATCTGACAAGAGTGACTAAAAAGGTAACAGAATGTCACCATGTAGCATTCTGCCTCATCAATAATAGTATTAGTGGCTATTAATAAAAGATTTAATTAGTTAATTGAATTTTGAAATTTAGGATTTACTATGCCACATCTCTTTGTGGTTCTCTACATCTCTTCTTCGTGTTGCAGTGCAGCATTTCAGCTAGTGAATATAAATATAATAGTGAAAATTTAGGAATGACAAGATAATTAATTATGCAGATTTACCAGTTTCTTTCATTTCACCTTATCATTTGTTCCAGCTCGTCATTGAAGCCACATGATGTTTACACTTAGTATAACATACAAACCCAAGACTCCTTTCCATCAAAGGGAAATATTTTAAATCATTTTATATTTAGTATCTCTTTAAAGTGTTACACTTCAGTGGGTTTAAACAAAGTTTGGCCAAAGAACGTGAATTTTATGGACTTACCTATTAGTAAGAATTATATTACATCATAACTCTGACTTTTATTAACTTTGGTCTTTATAATTTAATCTGTTTATTTGTTGCCATAGGTTTATAGTACTGGTTTACTGTACTGGTGAAATTGATCTATGCCATACAGAAAAAGTACAGCCTGTAAATGTACCAAAGAGACTGAGAAAAAATGGAAGAAACCTGTAACATATTTTCACTTTATTGACTGTACTATAGTATATGTTACAAGAATGAATCAGAAGTTCATTCAGTAATTTACTTGTGAAAAAAAGAAGTTCCTGACATTTCAGTGCTGCAATACATTTTTTTCAGTTGTTTACATAGTTAACACTGGTACCTGAGACCCAGTGACCACAGTCTGTAATTGATGTACCATCCCCTTGAACCAGTTCTGCTAAAATATAAGCACATTTCTTGCTTTACACTCAGCTTGCAGTTTTACAGTAGAACCACATTCAAAACATTACACATATTTCTCTAAAACATAAAATGGATGTAAATGTTCTGCAAAGATTTTCTATATATCTGTCCAGCTACAGCAAAATTCTGGAAATTTGCAAACATTTTGTTTTGAACGTGTTTTGAACAGTTTTGGACACAGTGTGTTAGCATTTTAAAAATGTGCTGCAGATATATAGAGTTTTGCAGGTGGTGAAGTAGGAATGGGAAAAGAGTTCATGGATTTTGGAGATAGTGGTCATTGAATGCATTTTGTGTGAAAGCAATGAAAAATGATTCACAGCTTGGTCCACATACACTTCTGTTTCGCTGACCGTGTGAAGAGTTTTGACAATGTGACTTCAGTTTTGACCAATGCAGGTTAGCAATTGAAAAAAACTGTAAGTGGTTTCCTGTAATGTAGGTGATATATATCAGTGAAGCATACTTTACAGTTTAAAAGTCTGTCTGGATAATTTTCCAAAATGTAAATATGATATCTTTCAATGCTCACAGGGCACAAATTTAACTTTGTTTCATTTGCATTGGGTGCTGGATTCCCAGTTAACACGCACAGTCTCATATTACCTGTCAGCAGATGGAGGTTGGTTAGACAAACACGGCTCGTGCTTGTTTGGGTGGATGAACTAAGCCATTAACATCATATTGTACCAACATCTGACTGGTAGCTCGTGGTAATTTTCCACCATGTAAACCACCGAATTACATTTTACTTCAATTGACTCTGTGTGTGTGTGTGTATACGTGTGCGTGTTGGCTCTGCATTTAATTGGGATACAAACCGACATACACACACACACTCAAAGGGGTTTTTGGGAAAGAGAGAGCTACAAAAAGTCAGTCAGTGAGTCGTTGAGACATAAACATTTGTGGTTTGTGAAAAACTGTTGTATATAAGAGACTAACTGGAAAAGTATCCCAGTGTTAGTGGATCTGATTTCCCCTCATAGCTGTCGGCTAAATACAATTTATTAACTCCATAAGGCTGCTGCTGCTCCACGCTGCTTCTGGAGGAGCTCCAGGAGAACCTAATAAAAATTTTCATATGAATAGTTTTAGACTTTGATTTCTGGGCAGATGAAACCATCTAAAAACTCAGAACAGGTCAGCATTAGTGTGCATCTCTATCAACTTTGACTCTTTAATAGTAGCAACAACAAACAAACAAACTTTCATTCCCATGGTCCCCTTTCTTTTCAGCTTCACTGAGTTATCAGCCAATCAGCTACATTTTATAACAAAGTGAGTGTCAAAGTGATGGTTGGTTACCTGCCAACAGCAACTTTGCAGCTACTGTACAATAAGATCTTGCCAGCATTTGGCTGGAGGCCATCCTGCAGAAAAACCAAAGTGTTGAGGGTTTTTTCTCAAATAACTTAGTTTTATTGTTTTATATTTTATTGGTTTGAGCTGATGGGAATGTGGTTTCAGTGGTGTTTTGTTTCACATCTAAACTCTTTCTGTTACCACATATTAATACAGTTTCTTTCTCTCCACTTATCTTTCTGTTCTTCTTTATTTTATATTTCCTCCCTTCATCTTCTGCTTCATCTTTACTTTCTCTTCCTGTATCTCCTCCTCTTCTACCTCTTCTTCTTCTTTATACTATCCTCTTTCCTCTACTTTGTTTTTTTACTCTTCTTCCTTATCTGCTTTACCTCTTCTTTTCTTCTTCTTTTTTTCCTCTTCCTTGTCTTGTTCCTCTTCTCCATATCCTCCTGCTCCTCTTCTTCCTCCTCCTCCTATAGATGTTGGAGATGAAGGCCAGAGGTCTGAAAAGATGTCCAGAGGTGCCATGGCCAACCACCAGTTCTCAGATGCAGACGACTCTGATGGTGGAGAGGAAGACGGCGATGAGGTGGATGATGAAGAAGACGAAGAGGATGACTATGATGGCGACTCCACTCCAAAGACCCGTTCACGCTCCACCAGCCCGCAGCCTTACAGCCTGCCCTCCATGTCAATCACAGCTGTGGCCTCTTCCCACCCTGCTCCTCACCTTTCTCATCATCCAGCGTCTGACCTCCTCGGCAACACCAACAAGCCTCCGCTGTTTGGCTACTTCACCACCGTGCCGAGTATCCAGATCACACCGCAGGCTCCGCCCAGTGACCCGGCCGGGAGGGAGCGCAGTCAGGCAGTACCAGCGAAGCCTGCAGCGGGCGCTGGGTGGCAAGCTACTGGTTCCACCCTCCTCCTCCATGGATGAAGACCTCCCCGTCCCCTCCCCAGACCTCTCCTCCCCCTCCTCCCGCCTGTCCTCGCCCGGGCTGGACCACTCCGGCTGCCCGTCCCCCATCTCTCCTTCATCCTCACCTTCAGCCCACCGATACCTCTCCCCACGCCGCGACCTCTCGCCCCACGCCGGACACCTCTCACCCCGGCGGGACATCTCTCCTCTGCGTCACATCTCCCCCAAGAGGGACCTGGGGGTATCAGGGGGATACAGACGAGACCTCTCCCCCAGGAGGGGACACCTCTCGCTGCTCTCCCCACTCTCTCGGCCTACGTCTCCAGCAGGGAGAGACTACAAGCGCGACCTTTCACCACGAGGCCGCCACAAAGGGATGATCCGGCCTGTTTCTCCTCGCCGAGGGCTCCACCAACATCTCCACCACCAGAGGTGAGTCGAGAGGAGGATGACCCGAGTAAGGTTTTATTACGTCTATGTGAGTAGTCAGAAACATCCAAGTGCAAGTATAGTTAGTTAGAGTTCTTGTTGTTCTCATTATTCTTCAATTCACTAGAGTAGCAAGGCAAAACACTTTGGCTTTTGCTATTCAAAGTGTCCAAGCTCAATTATTGTCACAGTCCAACCTCATCTAAACAGGTACTGTGGGTAGAATCACATAGAACTTATTTTAAAAAACAAGCACTGACATAAAAATAGGGCAGAAAGAAGCATATTTTAAAGGAAAAGGTGCAGCAATACATCTAAATATACAAACAATGCATTACTTTTACATGTACGGCAATTATTTTACAGTGTTCAACGAAGGTTAAAATGAAGGGCAACTGGACTTGGTTGAAGCTACTGGAAGACGTTTCGTCCCTCATCCAAAGGACTTCTTCAGTTCTGACTGACTGGCAGGGAAACTCAGCTATTTAACCTCAGTGGGGTCGTTATCTCGGGTCATCGATACCGCTGGTTCGTTAGTACTACTTACTAACTAACTAACTTATTACTTATTACTAACGAACCAGCGGTATCGATGACCCGAGATAACGACCCCACTGAGGTTAAATAGCTGAGTTTCCCTGCCAGTCAGTCAGAACTGAAGAAGTCCTTTGGATGAGGGACGAAACGTCTTCCAGTAGCTTCAACCAAGTCCAGTTGCCCTTCATTTTAACCTTCGTTGGATAACTACGACCTGGATGACTGAGAATCTTCATAGACATATTTTACAGTGTGTTACTGAGATTGGATGAAAGTTTTGTACTTGATGAATTTTTAATGTGAAATTTCTTCTTGCTTGTGACTACCAGCCAGCAGAGTGGATTGCGGGGCCTCAGGGCAGGTCACCAGGCCGGGGTGTTGGGTCAGGCAGAGCTGGACCCTCTGGGATGTCGCAGAGGCAGCGCAGAGATGGAGACGGTAAGAGTCCATAAAACTTTACAAATTATTCTCTGTTGTCGAGTCTGAATAAGTTTACTCGGCTGTATTCTCTTCTGCTTTATTTGTCTGTATGGTATTTTTATTCGTCTTTGTTCTTTACAGTATAATGTGTTAGCTAACTTTTCTCTTAACTCTTTTTTGGGTCAAGTACTATCATGTAAGTTTTTGGTTTATACTGTAGGATTTAACATATTTAAATCTTCACCAGGCAACTCTGCACTTTGGCTCACTCAAGTGGTAGCATGACATAAATGAATATTTGCATTTTTTGGAAAGACCTCATCTTCGTGTCATAGAGTTATGCTTGAGTAGGACAAAGAAAGACAACATTTAGCAGCAGTTAATCCACGTTTCCCTGAACAGAGCGCTCACTTGCTAGAGTTTAAGTTTTACATTTAACGTTTAATTTGTGTTTTTTAGCAGAGATGGCCCTTCTCACTGTTGCCAGACCACTTTATGTACTTTAAGATGATAAAATTGGTGTAGTTTTGATAATAGGGAACATTTATTACAAAAAATAAGGTCTTGTTTAGAACATTTGCCTCCCTAAACACTGCGAATAGAGTACTTTAATATTTAGGTGCTTCACTGTGATTTACTAAACTTTCTGCTGTTCAGTCTGTGGTCCGATGTGGTAAACCTAAAGTAGAAATGTGGGAGATGGAGGAAAAGGACAGAAAGACGAGAAAAGGGGGGAGCAGAGGAAGACAGAAAAAAAGAAACTCTCAGAGACAAAACAGGGAGAAGAAAACTGTCTGGCAGACTGAGCAGAAACATTCAGAGAGGATGAGGGAATGAAGAGCGAATCAGATAGACTGAGTGTGTTAGAGAGAGGGATGATTGAAGATAGGGCTGCTGGGTTTTGGTGGTAATGGGATCTTGGCTGGCGGTGGTGTGGTTAATAACGCGGCTGTTTTTCTTCTTAAGGGCCCTACTTCAAACTCTGGCTTCTGCTGCTGGTCCCACTTAAACAAAGCGTGAAGCAGAGAGTGAGACTGGCTCGGCTTTGATAGCCAAGCGTTCTCCAAATGATAGATTAATGTTTTAACAGCCATTATTCAGGCACAAGATGTTTGACTGAGACTTTACGCTTTGTGTTTGTTATTTTTACCAACACCTGCTCTCAAGCACTACCACACATTTATGTTTCTGAGCTATTCATCAAGGCATATTAATTTATTTAGTCAGATAATATTTGGTTTTACATTCCGCAGCCTCAAATGTGTGTTTATTGTACCTAGTACTGTCCAATGAGTTTGTGTATTTCTGTTGTGGGTTTTTGCCATAACATTTAAATAAAAATCAGGTGGTAGAAGACAATTTCGAATCAACGGTTCATGATTATGTCTACAGCATCGTTTCATGTTTGTCTCCTGTTGTGTTTCCAGGAACATCGTCAGGGTTCAAAGTCCCCAGGGGAACAGGACCAGAGCCGCAGTAACCAGTGCAGCCCACCTCACCAAGTCTTGTTCAGTCACCTTCCTCTCCATTCTCAACTCCAGGTATCTTCTATCTATCTTCTTTTTACCTTGATATATTGTTTTATTTGAATATTGTTTATTAATTTAATATATAATATATATTATTTTGTACATTTAATTTTAAGGTAATTTCTTTAAAATTATATTTTTCAGTTTTTATTTTGTATTTATGATATTTTGCATTTTATATATATTTTTACTTTTTACTTTCTTATATTTTCTATATCTTATATTTCTTTAATCTTTTATTTTATTTTTATATTTTAGGCAATTTATTCCATAATATTTTCATTATTTAATTATTTTATATACATTTAAATATATAAATGTTAAATGTTATAAAGAAAGACAGCTGTGTTTGAAAAATACACTTTATTACTTATTTATATCAGCACCATAAGACTCCCAATAACATAAACCCATTGGTTCCTACTGATGACAGAAATCTATTATTGGAATATGGTTTAATTTAAAAAAAAAAAAAAAGCTCAGTAATTTATTTTCTCAAACAGCTGATCTCTTTATATTACTTAACCAGGAGGAAATAGTGAATTTGTTGGGGACTATTTTCAGCGGTTGAATCCACATGTGGTTCTCTAGTGAGTGTTTGGGGCAGCAGGATGGTGTATGTGGGACTGAGTCAGAATAAACTACTCATGGTGATGAAGGAACATGTGACCCAGTGCAGCAGTGAGGCTCACTGATGAGTTATTTGGACAACAAAGGACCTTTACATGTGATTCAAAGTGAAATTTTCATTTCAGGTGCGTTCGCCGTTCCCAATGATCCCCATCGGAGGGATCCAGATGGTGCACTCCGTCCCTACGTCCATCACCACCCCTCTGGCCCAGCAGGGGGCGCAGCAGGTCACATCCCGCCTGGTGCTGCAGAAGAGTACATCAGAGGACTCCAACACCAGCGAGTCCACTGGCCCTCATTTCGCCTCCTTCACTGAGAGGGGAGTTCGAGGAGGAGGAGTAGCAGGAGCAGGTGAGAGGCTGAGGGAGTTGAACTCACCTCAACCCTCATCGCAGGAGAGGGAAGGAGGAGGAGTGAGGCATGAGCAGGAAGAGAGCATCCACACCTGCACCAAAGCCATTGCCTCGCTGTGCATCGACTCGGAGGAGCTCGCCGAGAGAGGAGGTAGAGGGGATAAAGGAAAAGATGGAGGCAGAGCTTCTTCCTCCTCTTCCTCTCCTTCTGCGTTGTCCCCCAACTCCCAGCAACAGCAGCGCTCGCCATCCATCTCCATGTCGCCGCCATCTCCTCACCCCTCACCATCTCCTCCACAAGGTCCCGGGATTCAGCACTTTAGCGGCCTGGAGCTCAGGCCCCCTTACCCATCAATCCCCGCCTCCCCTCACTCCTCTTCCTCCTCCTCCTCCTCCTCGCATCCTCCCAGCCCCGCATCTGAAACCCTCCAGCCTCCAACAGCGTCCAAACCTCTCCATCTGGAGAGAGAGAGGGAGGTAGAAAGCAAAAAGAAGCAAAGATGTGTCGTAGGGCTGCAGAAGAACAAGAGGAGCAGAAACGATGGACGATCGTTTTTTTTGTTTGTTTGTTTTTGGATAATAGGAAGGGATGAAGTGCAACAGAGAGAGAAAATACTTTTGCACACTTTACACACATATTCTTCTACTTCAGTTTATATACATACACACTCTCTCTCTCACACAAACACACACACACAAACACAATGCATACAAAAATAAACAGCTCTTGTCAAAAAAAAAGACTAAAACACAAATGGACAGTTTGCAGTTTTAAAGTCTGTGTACAGCATGCCTGCTCTAACCAGGGCCTGCTCTCAGAAACTTTCTTATTTAAAGACTTTAAAGAGGATCTGCATACGGTTACACATGTACGTTAACTCCTACCAACACATGAGCCAGACCAAAATCTGCTATAAAAAAAGGACACTGGTTAAGCGGTACTTAAAAAAGAAAAAAAAGGAAATCAGACAGCTATGTGTGTGCCTTTTCTTTAATCTTTTGTTTGTTTGTTTGTTTGTTTTGCTTATATTCTTATAAGCAAACAAAACAGGAAGGAGGTAAATGTAAATACAATACTATCACGTTTTGCGTATCAGCTTGTAATAAATGCAAACCCCCCTTCCTCCTCCTTCTCCTCCTCCTCCCCCACCTCCTGTGTTTCTTTTGTTCTTTGGACACCTTAAAGTCTCGACAAGCGATGTGAAGTTATGAATATTACTATTACGTACGGTTGCACTAAAACATATTTTTATATGAGTGAAATTTTAAAAATGGCTTTTTTTGTGTACAGCAGCAATTCTATAATACTATTTATTATTGTTACCATGTTTCATAAATTGTAAATTTTTTCTTAAATGTCGTGGATGCCTTTTTCTATGTCAAGCATGGGGTTTTTGCTATCGCTTACATTAGGGCGAGGATATGTACACTGTAATATGGCTTTATATGTTAGACCTATTTATATACGTCTAAGTGAGCCTCCTCTGCTTGGAGGTATATACACATAGAAGTAAGATTTACCAGAATATTTACCCAGCATATGAATACATACAGTATATAAAATCTATCAACCTGTCTGTCTGTCTGTCTGTCTGTCTATCTATCTATCCGCACTTAACATTTAGAATGACATCCACATTAAGGTTACGGTAGTTTGCTTGTACATTTTCTCTGCTGCTCTTAGCCTGTCCCTGGTTGTGATTTTTCTTGTTTTGTTTTGGGTTTTTTTTACATACTTTCGTGGTATTATTTCTTGTTTTGATTTTTATGAGGCATAGATTTGCTCTTAGCATTAAGTGAATGAACATGCCTTCTTGCACCGTGGCATTCTGCTTAACTGTTGTTAATTTTAAAGCCCACCGCACACACAGACACACACACACACACACACTCCTCCCCAACAGCGCCTCCATCAGCGTTTGAGACAAATATTGAAGGAGGTAGCTCCACATTATGAAAAACAACTTTGCTTGAATGAATACAGTTTTATTTGTCGGATACCTGAACGGGGAAAACATTCCAGTCCATGTAAATATTCAGTCAACTCCCCTAAACACATATACATTTTCCTTTTTTTGGCATTGACGCACACGTGGCCATGGCAATCAACCCACGAGACTCTTATTTAATGGTTTTACTTCTGGGGACACGTACACAAACACATACACCAAACTCTCTGACAAATGCACCTTATATTTCTTAGGATCTCTGCTATGAAAGTCCCAGCACTCTAGTCAGTTTCTTTTTTGCTGCAAACATTGATTGAAATGGAAAGTGTTTAGGAGGAGAACTGCTCTGCGCTCTGAACCCCAAAATTGTCTGGAAAAAAATGATAATAATAATAATAATACAGTTAACAGGCGTGATATTGAGGCTTTCTGCACTGCTTTTTTGACCCTTCTGTGACCCCTCTTCCTCTCCTGGATACTCTTTGTGTAGCTAAGCAATATTTAGCCAAAACTCTGCTCACCAGCAGGGAGTGTATTTGTTGCAAGGCAACAATTAGTGTACTTAAAAATCCTAAAACCAGGAGAAGAAGGAAGCAGTTGGGGGTTGTGGTGATTTCAGTGGCACAACTCTTTTCTCTTTTGACAGTTTTTGGGTGGAGTCGGGCAGGCTGCAATGTGAGTGTGTATCTCTGTATTCTGTATCGGTGTGTATTCGACCAGTATATCCTCTTCTTACGACTTTTTTCTATTTCGATCCTCCCTCTGTTATGTACACTTATCATGACGACAATGATGTCTTTAAAAAAAAAAAATCTCTTTCTCTCTTTCAAAGATATCAAAGCACAAGTCATTGTTTAGAAATGACAACAATACAAAAAAAAAAGGACAAAAAAAAGGTAAACGTGCATATAAAAGGGTAACGTTTGTGATGGTGTTCTGTGGAATTAATACAAATATCATGTATGAACCCAGTTGCAACAAGGAATCGCAGTAGAAGTGGGAAAAAATGGATTGTTGTTTTCAAATAAATATGAATAGTATAATTTGTTCGTCTCTGCTCCTTTTTTTTTACAGCTTCTTGGTGTGTTTAATGATGACAGGATATTTGTCCAAATTCTTTAAATTATGCAAAAAGTACTTATAATACAGTATCTAAATATTTTTTACAGCACTTGTAATAGTACTAAAAGCGCTTTTAATACTACAATAGCGGTGCTATCACAGTAGACTATTAGTAGTGTGTTATTTAAAGACACTATCACTGATTATCTCTAGCACATTTGTCATGGTTTGAGATACTGATGAACTTACCTGGTTGCAACTTGCAGCTGTCCCTCCCAGGGACAAAGCCAATTCCATTTTCTGAAAGAGATACAGGAGTAGGGGTCCTGGGGTGGTTGGTTTAAAAAAAAGCATGTTTAATTCCCAACAATGGTGCTTCTGTTTTGGCTGTTCGCCCCATCAAATGTATTTTGCAGTGTTGGTAGGTGGGAAGCTGGTGAGGGATCATGTAATTGTTACTGCGCAAGGGACGCTAGGTGAAGAGACAGCTGCTGAATTAATGCATATTCATGTCTGAGAGACACAGTGCTTCCTACACTTTCACCACACCATCAACAACAGGAATTCAATAGTAAAGAACACAGACTGTAGTGTGAGGGGACCTGGCCATTCCAAAATTGGAGGGGAAAAAAGGATTTTAAAGAATACATAGGAAAACAATTGCAATTTCCCACCTTGTTTGTATTTTCACACATCATATTCCCAACAGCCTATCGATAGCAAATAAAAAAGTTTGTAAAAGCAGTGAGTTCTATAATTTCAGGTCTAGGACTTTTTGTTTTTTTTGGACCTGCATTTGGTCCCAAACATGTGATTACTTGTCTGTCTGTTGGTCTGCACTGCCAGTGACAGCTGTTGGATTAATTCAAAGTATGTCCACTGCACATTTTTTATAGTTCTTATCTTAGGGTCATTCCAAGTTGAAATGCCAAGTCATGCCTTGGTATGCCTCAGTTGTTTTATGTTGCTCAGTCTGACCCTCTGTCCCTGTTTCCAGACACTTCTCACTTCCCCTGCTCCCTGCATTTCTAGGAGCTCTCCAGACTTTCCACTCTCCATCCATCCACCAGATGCCCTCAGAATTTCCCACCGGTCCCAGTCACCTGACGCCACATCCACCTGCTCACCTGTTCCTTATTCCCCAATCACCACCCACAGTATTTACTAGCCCATTTTCACCTGCTCCTGGCCAGATTGTCAACGTTGATTTTATGCGTTCTTCCCATGCTAGGTTTAATGCCCAACAAAGGTGCTAACTACACTAGGGATGCTAGGTGAAGAGACTGCTGTTGAATCCATGTCTGTGAGACACAGTGCTTCTTCAGTAGTGAAGAACAAAAAAATGTAAAATACACTGGAGGACAAAGCAATTTCCCAATTATTGTTTATATTTTCACACATCATGTCTTTCAAATTCGCTCATATTCTGTCTTGTACCCCCGCTGACTCAGTTGTCAACAGGGACACTATCATATCCACTTAGAGTGTTGAAGGCTAAAGAACATTTTTTGATGTGTTCCCAATAGCCTATTAACAGCAAATAAAAAACTTTGACTGCAAAAGTGAAATGAGTTCTGTCATTTCAGGACTATGACTACTTTTTTTGGACATAGAAAACAAAAGTATTGGTTTTAGTTCAATTTGGAAAAGATCCATCCATCCAGCCAGTATTTCTTTGGATCCCTAATTAATAGCTACTACTTACAGAAATATCGATAGGAACACCAGTGGTAATGACATGGAATAAATAAGGGTAGTAGCTGCAGTAATAGAAGTGTCAGTAGAAGCAGCAGTAATAATTCAAACCCCTTCTAGCACAAACGATCTATTTGAAAATACTCTTTGAAAAAGGTCAGCTAATAAGTCTTCACCACATATGACTCCAGCTGTATTAATTTCTTTATTCAGTTTTCACCCTGTTTCTGTCTGACTCTTATTTCTAATTTTAATGTAGTCCCTGTCATTACCATGTCCCACATATGTCTACCTGTCTACATCTTTGGTGGTGTGTTTTTTTTCTTTTTGTTGACACAACTGGGTTGGTGTCAACTTACATTTATTCTGTCAGTCTGTCCACATGTCGGTGAGTCCCATGGCCTTTGATAGGAGATGATCAAGCCAGTTATTTTGGTCCTGATTAGCGTTTGGAGGAATCACTTTCATCACTAGTTTGTAAGGTGTGAGTGTAGTTTTCATGGTTCAGAGCCGCGAGCATATGGAAATGTCCCCTGAGACTCGTGTTGCTGTTTTGTAGCATGCGTGTGGAACTGCCTTTGTGTCTGTATGTGTAAATGGATCTGTGTGTTTTTTGCATTCATGTGCACAAAAAAAGGTTCATACTAGCCAGTCAATCAAACAATCAATAATTTTGTTAATTCAGTAGTATTAGCAGTAGTATTGAAGAGTGCATGGGCTGTTGCATGGTTGTTGGGCCCCTGACCTACTCACCTCCTCTTCATCTCCTTCACAGACAAACCAATCATCAGAAAACCTATTTATAAAGACAAGAAGAACAAAGAAGCAAGTGGTCTACATCAAACGTGTTGTACAATGACAACGTACACTGTAAAAAAAACAAAATATAACCTTTTTGCTTTCTTCCTGTGTGTCCACAGCGCCCAATACAGTGTTCGAGAAGAATGGCAACTCCTGCAGGGACGAGAGCAGGGGTAGAACAAGTATGTACACATTGCGAACAGTACGCACTCCCCTGCAGAAGACATGGCGTGAGTGACAGCACAGATTGTGCAAAGAGCTTAGGGACCACACCAGCATCTAAACAGAACAAAACGGCATTTGCAGGTAAGATTTAATGTTTTGTGCACCAAATTAGCTAACTAGCCTGACAACTGACATTACCCCCATGTACTTGGTTGCACTTATCCCCTGAGGGTTTATTTGAAATGAAAATGTGCAGGACAAGACATGTGTTCATGTTACATAAGACGGACAAGCAGAAAGGCTAATGTGTTTTGTAGTTCAAGGTTTTGTGCTGTGAGGCAGTGTTGCTGGTAGTGTCAGTGTTAGCTCGATAGAAACGTGACGTTAGTGCTTTAAGCAAATGTGTTTAAATGAAATGATTTAATTGGCTGTATGAAAAGAAGTTCTCCAGCTATGTAGACGAGGAACCACAGGAGAACATGTCATTTTAAAAAACATTAACTTCAGTTGGCCTTTAAATTAGTGAGTTCCTAATTAGAAAGAAAACAAGGAGTCAAGTCATTTTTCAGCCTTTTTTTTTTAAAGCAGACACACATAAATATAAACACGAAAAAACAACAGTGGGGATCACCAGCTCTTAATATATTCTCTGCTGCTTCTGTATTCACATTCCTTATCCCACATTTGAAATAATATGACTTATTATGAAGCATTTCGCAGGCAATAATTATGCACGTTGTCGCTGAACGTATCATTTCACAACTGGGAGTTATTTTGCAAACTCACGCTATCGCCGCCACACTGTCAGAGCCGCAGCCCAACCGACACGGGACAGATCTCTTAGTGCATCCTGGGAAAGCTCTCATTTCTGGTCGGGTGTCACCCAAATCGGCTTGTTTACATGCCTTAATGGTTAGTAGCAAACAGCCTGTGGTTGGACACCTCGTGTGTGTGTGTGTGTGTGTGTGTGTGTGTGTGTGTGTAAAAGGGAATACCACGTTTAGAGCTGTTCCCAGCTGTAATTAACTCTAAAGATAAAGCAGGGTTTTCTCCTTCTGTCAGGTTTTAGGAGATTTCTCTGGATGGTTTAAAAAAATTCTTCTTACAGATGACCCCACATGCAGCACATACAGTATTTAACCTGAACACATAGTTTATATAAACTTTCCACATAATACATTTTTGCCTTTTTCTTTTGAGTTGAGCATCTTACAGTAATTTTACTTCATCTGGCAGTGATTATTGTTATGAACTACTCCAGTTTCAATAATAGCAATATGATTACTGAACAAAAAGTAATTAACCAAATTGCTAACCAAAATTGCAGTAAAATGAAAGTAAACAACCAAAAACTGATTTGTCTTTAAACCATGGTCATAATTTCTTATATTTGCAGAACATGCTGTAGGCTTGGATCAATTTCCAAATAATTTATCTTATTTAAGTCAAGATTGGCTTGGAGTTTATTATGTATTTAAAAATAAGAAAAGTTGGTTGTAATTTGTGCAGAGTGGGATAAAGTTGTTTCCCTACTACAGGTGCCAAATTTATTTTTCCTGGGGGTAGTTTATTCACACACTGTATGAATAACGTTTACAAACTGTGAAAGGCCCCCACATCATCATATTAGCATGATCATTTTATCAATCAAAACAACCAGTTTCTCCACATAAGAACAGATAAACAAATACCAACAACCAAATAAAATAAACCAAAGTAAATGCTTTTACATTGTGTCCCTTCTACTATTTATTGCCCAACATTGCTATTCTCCCCTTTGGGTCATTCCAAGTAGAAATGCTTAAGTCCTGTCAAGCGGGCTGCCTCAGTAGTTTTGATGTTGCTCTGTCTTTCTCCAGCCACTTCTCACTTCCCCCAGATCCTTGCATTTCTTAGATCTCCAGACTTGCCATTCTCCATCCATCCACCAGATGCCCTCAGACATTTTCACCTGTCCCAGTAACCTGACTCCCACATAAACCTGCTCACCTGCTCCTCATTCCGCTAATTACCACCCACAGTATACCAGCCATTTTCACTTACTCTTGGCCAGATTTTCAATGTTGCTTTGATCCTTTGTGTTGTTGCTGCATCGACCCAAATCTGTAGCCTGTGCCTGCCTGGCTGTACCTTTACCTGAAGCATTCCTGTTAACCTGTGGTTTTGCAGCTTTTTCTGTATGGACTTTTGATTCAAAGCATTTATATCACCATTTTGTCTGCATTTGGGCCATTTTCCTTGCTGCCTCGTACACATAAAAGTCAAAATTCAGTTGCAAGTTAGATTTTGTCAAATCAAGGTTAGTCACA